AAATACATAGGAAACAGTCATTGACAAAGTTAGAAATTATCAGTTTTAAATATTAAAATAATAATTGTGTTCTTCAAACTCCATTTGCAGCAATTACAGCCTTGTAGACCTTGGCCATTCTAGATCAAAATTTGTTGAGGTAATCTGATGAGATTTCACCCCGGGCTTCCTGACGCATCTCCCACAAGTTGGATTGGCTTGATGGGCACTTCTTACGTAATATTTGGTTCAATAGAGTTGAGATCCGGTGACTATGTTGGCCACCCCATTATACACAGAACACCAGCTGACTGCTTCTTCCCTAAATAGTTCTTGCATAGTTTGGAGCTGTGTTTGGGTCATTGTCCTGTTATAGGACAAAATTAGCTCCAATTAAGCGCCATTCATAGGGTGTTGCATGGTGTTGCAAAATGGAGTGATAGCCTTCCTTCTTCAAGATCCTTTTCTCCTTGCACAAATCTCCCACTTTACCATCACCAAAGCAGCCCCAGTCCATCACATTGCCTCCACCATGCTTCACAGATGTCGGCAAGCTCTCCTCCAGTGTGTTCATTTGATCGCCGCCTCACAAATGTTCTTCTTTGTGATCCAAACACCTCAAACTTAGATTTCTCCGTCCATAGCACTTTTTCTAATCTTTCTCTGTCCAGTGTTTATTGCCCTTCTCAGTCTTTCCTTTTTATTGCCCATTAAGAGATATGGCTTTTTCTTTGCAATTCTGCCTAAAAAGCTAGTTGCCTCTTCACTGTTGATGTTGTGGGTACTATTTAATGAAGCTGCCAGTTGAAGACCTATGAGGCGTCTGTTTCTCAAACTACACACTCTAATATATTTATCCTCTCACTGTTGTGCACCAGGGCCTCCCTCTCCTCCTTCTATTGTGGTTAGAGCCTGTTTGTGTGGCTCCCTGAAGGCAGTAGTACACAGCATCAGGGGCGCTGTAAGGGGGAGGAAAGCTAGGACGATTCCAAGGGCCCCTGAGTGACAGGGGCCCTAAAAAATTAGGAAAATAACTGGATTGGTTTGGACTGGGGGGTCTAATATGATATGCTTTCATGGGGCCCAAAATCTCTAGCAACGCCCCTGCACAGCATTGTACGAGATCTTCAGTTTCCTGGCAGTTTCACGCATAGAATAGCCTTCATTTCTCAGAACAAGAATACACTGATGAGTTTCAGAAGAAAGTTCATTATTACTGACCATTATGAGCTAATCGAACCCACAATTGCTAATGCTCCAGATACTCAACTGCTCCAAAGAAGGCCAGTTTTATCACTTCTTTAATCAGCACAGCAATTTTCATCTGTGCTAACATAATCGCAAAAGGGTTTTCTAATGATCAATTAACCTTTTAAAATGATGAACATGCATTAGCAAACACAACATTCCACTGGATCACAGGACTAACTGTTGCTGATAATGGGCCTCTGTACACCTATGTAGAGATTATATTTAAAAACAGCCGTTTCCAGCTATGATAGTCATTTACAACATTAACAATGTTTACACAGTATTTCTGATCAATATGATGTTATTTTAATGGACAAAAAACCTTTGAACAGTAGTGTATATCTCATGCTTACTATGCAACGTTATGTAAAATTTTTGTGACAGAGACCAAAGCATCCACAATTGAGTTTCTAGCACATATTCCTTCTCAAAGAACATTTTGTAACTAATTACCAATTATATCCAAAGTCAAGCAAGTAACTACGTCACCAGAAATACTGCACAATAAAAACTGTTGAAATGAAAAAGGATGCTTTCATTTGCTAACTGCTCATTTGGTGTGTGTTGGGCACACCGTGATTCGTGCTGTTACAGGTAATCACTTTGTGGGCCACACAGTCCTAGCCAGGATAAAGCTGTTTTCCATGGTGAGACATTTCTATATTTGTGTCCCATCAGGAAGATAAAAATACTAGTTTAATATAGCCTCAAAATTAATGCATTCCTTGCGCACATGCTGGAAGGAACAATTTTATCATGAAATTAGCAAGTCACATTTATTATATATTTTTAATATTCCATATATATTTTTCATAAGTACTTATGAAGTAGGAAGCTACTGTTAATATTAATAATAAATATTATCATAATATATAAAGCAGTAGGAATTACCTTAGTTAACCATTTCTAACCATTTTATAAGGGTTCTGTCTAGAGCCTTGAAAAGACAGTTCCTGAAGTACTGAAATTATTCTACCATTTAATTATGTGCATAAAAGTCCATACATTCATCCATTTTCTTTACCTGCTTGTCCTGTTCAGGGTCACATGGGTTTGAAGCCTCTACCAGAGGCTATGGGGGCAAGGTTAGGAATAACCCAGGACTGGACACACACCAGTCACACCAATAGAAAGTCTGGCAACTCCAATTCACCGTAGCATGTTTTTCGGACTGTGGGGGGAAACTGTAGTAACTGGTGGAACCAGGGCAGAGACTTGAACTCCAGTGCCAGTCAGCTGAAGCAGCAGTGCTAGCCACTGTACCACTGTATCGTCCCCATGTATAAAAATGCAAATACTAAAACTGTATATTTATTTATAATGATTATTTTATTGTGGATGACAAAAACTGGGGTTGAGCAATGACCATCATATGGCCCATGTCCATGATTGTTACGCCACTGGATCATGCCAACACGTGGATCTTTCTCTTGACAAAGTCACAAGCAGGTACCAGCTGATAGTCTGCTGGGGTCAGATGGACCCCAAGCAGGAAGCAGAACAAGAAGCAGAAAAGAGGGAAGTATTTTTAGGATAAATCTTTTGGTTGAAAAAAAAGGATATCCAAAAGCAGGGTGGAGTAGCCCAACTGATTCAAAGTATATGGCAGTATACACTTAGACAGAGGATATACAGCACACAACTATGATGGATATCTATGACGGTCAACATCAAAACCTAGCAAAAACAGCTCTTTGGAATTTTATAGCTGACTTCTGAGTTGATTAAGTACTTCTGCTTGCTGATTCAAACAGCCTGCCCTCCGCAACAGCAAAAAAGGTAGCTTGAACTGAATACACAGCATTAGAACAGCTAAGATATCTGATCAAAGTGAACATGGTGTTTTTGGTGGTTCCATACATGGTTGGTCCAGTATCTCAGAAATGGCCACCTTCATAGGAATTTTATGCACAACAGTGTCTAGAATTCACAGTTAATGGTGTGATTCTGGAAAACACCTTGTTAATATTAGAAATTTGAGGAGAATGACCAGACTCTGTAAAGCACAACTGTGGTGTGAAGAATGGCTTCTCAGAACACTCAATCCATCTATCCTTAAAGCAATTCGGCAGGCAAAAGTGGGAACTCCTGCTGTATATATTGATTGTTTATTGAGTTATTCTTACTTAGTTATTATACCTTGTATATATTACCATCAAGCTGGATTGGAGAAGTTGCTGCTGACTAAGCTATACTGAATACTATTTAATGTTTACACGGTTAACTTTCCAGATATGACATTTGTATTTTAAACTAAGAATCCAGCTTTAATGCACAAGTCATTATGCCAGATAGACTGATTTTTATCTTTGACAGTATATATTTTAGTGCAATATTTATTGTAATACTTAATGGTCCCGGAATCATCAGTTTCAGTATTTCAGCTGGCGTTATGCTTAATGAGATTTTTTTAAACGTCGTACTGTTCTACAACAAGGCAGCACGCGTATGATGGGACGGAATACACATGATGGGGCAGAAGGGCAGTAAAAGGGAACCCACAACAAAAGCGTTTACAGGAATTTCAGTTGCAATTTCACTTTAATGAGGAAGTAGCCTGAGAGTACAGCACGATACAGAAGGACAGATACACTGACCATCACATCCATTGCTTTAGATGATACCTGGTGTGTGATATAACGTGTCATGATTTGCACCAGGGTGGGATGACTAGGCAAATCATGTGAATGGAGAAAAGGCTCATAATTTATAAAAATGCCACCCAGTGTACAGGAGGATGAGAGTTTCAATTACAGAAGCGGTCAGATGGAGAGGATGCAGCCAGAACAAAGTTCTCTTCTGGCCAGTTTTCTGTAAGCCCCAGAAAATAAGGTTTATGGTAAGTAATTCATTCATTCATAAGACCTGCTTTAGTTGTAAGTGATCTTATATTTTACAATCCTATTTCCATTGTGTTTTGTTGATGATGTTATTGTAAAAAAAATAAAATAAATAGTTTTAGAAAACAGTTCTGTAAAATTTCTGGAAAACAGTAAGTCTCTGATCTAAACTCAGTGTTATATCTGTTCATTATTTTCATTCTATTTTGCCACCCCACATAACATTTATATTGTCAAATATGTATATATTTATAATTGTTATACAAGGTCAGAATATCATTGGCATCAGTTTTCTGGTAGCCTCCGTTACACTAAATGCCATATCCACACATCTCCTGACTCAAGAGGAAACTGTAGTACCTGTATAGGAAACGTCCAGTTTCCTCAATCTGAATAATATACTTCATTTTACATTTGATCTATTGTAGCATTGTGTCAAAGTTTACTAAGAACAAAATCACACACACATGTACACATGTTTGTATTCATATTCTTGTGGAGACCATCCATCTATTCACTTCTACTTGCAAAATCCTAATCCCAGCAATGAACCAATTTTTCACTTACTCAGTTTGGATTGGCAGGGAGGGGGGGGGGGGAGTGTCCAGGATCCTCAATAAGGCACAGGGGACACCCCCAGAGTCATCAGTCACTTGATACTCGTCCGATTTCTTAAACAATGTTACTTGCTGCTTGTCAGATGAAGGCGAAGCGGCGCAGTCGCAGAAGGTGCTGTTGTGATTTAGTGTAGTGACAACGTCAAAGATCTCCTTTTTCTAATCGAGTTGAAAACGATCCTATTTGAGATAAGCATTTATGGTGGAATTATTTTAATTTAAATGCATTAATAAAGAACTCACTAATCCTCAAGGAGACTATACTGGATTTTTATATGAAGTGATTTTTTTTTGTATTTGTATATGTTTCATTCATCTGAAAACACTCAAGGACCAGTCAAATGAAGGAAAAAGAAAGTCAGCTGTGCTCCTCCCCAGGCACATCGAATGGGAAGCGTCCGAAAGCCAGCGTTTGGCGATGACGTAAGGGCAGGCACTTAAGCGACTTTTTGAACGGCGCTGGGACAGAACTGTGCAGACTTCCCTGGAGAGTGTGCAGACTTCACTGGAGAGTGATCACACCAGCGGGACGGGGCTGTTTACGAGCTGCCGTCTATGGGTGATCGCACGTAACCAGGGACGAAGGAAAATTTCAAGTTTTGATTATAGTAATATTCGTAGAAACTCGCGTGCAGGAATTCGGGCACTTTGCTAATTTATTCTTCACCGCGAGTCGGGTGGGATAGGGCACGGTGGCACGCGTGGAGGAAAGCTGGATGGCTCGCCGTGGTCAATCGCGAAGCTGATTTTAACGTCTCAGCACTTTTTGAAACTCAGAAGATCCGAGGATCCACAAAATTGCATTTCTTTCTTTCTTTCTTTTTTTGGTGCAACATTTCCAGCTGTTCATTTTAAAGGATGACGCTGTGTGTGCCTTTGATGCAGTTTGCGGTATTGGACCGTTGCTTCTGTTGTCGTGCAATGGGGTATGACTGACGAGTCTAAAAAGCGGCTGTGGGAAAAAAAAAGAATTCCATACTTTCTCTGCTGGCTCGTTAATGCTGGAGACCGCTGCTAGGCGGCTTTCGGGTACTGAGCCACGGCGCCAATCCAAGCACAAAGAGTGCAGTGATTCCCTGAATGGACTGATGGTTACCCATCTATGAAAACACGCTTCCAAACTAGATGCGCTGGCAAGCGGCGTGCAGCGATGCATTAGTGCTGCTGGAAAGCGCTGTTGCCTGCAGTTGTCTTTACTCTGTTAAGGAAAACCATTTTTAAGTTAAAAAAATGATTTCAGAGGAAAGGAACAGTTTCATATCTAAGGATGCCCTGACCTTCCCGGTGGGCATACTCATTAGCTCGCCAAAAAGACGACTGGCGAAGCTGGGGAGAAAGCCGAGCAATAGGTAAGTACGGTAAGCAGCCAGCGGGACACCTGCCGTTTACCTGTTTTATATCTACAAAACAATAATGCTACAGTTTACAGTTTTATGGTACAGCTTGTGAAAACCTGACACATCGTAAAGTTCACTTATACAGTACGTGGTGTTTCAGGGCGTATCCACCAATTTTCGGGTGTTGGTAGAGTATTGTCATAGTTTTACAGCTATTTACAGTTAATTCTGCGGTATAATAATAATAATTTCTGCAGTGACGTGGCAGTAGCTAAAGTCTAAGTTTTGCTGCCGCTATAAGTAAATCCAAAATGGATTTTAGCGGTTCTAACCGATGAAAAAATATTCAAAATAAATCGATGACTTCATGTGAAAATATCCGCGGTAGAAGTAAGACGTTTAAAAATACAGGAACAACATACCAGTGTACATTACAAAAATGCGCTTAGTGGAAAGCATATACGCGGTTGCGATTGTTTATTATAGAGCCGTGCTTAGTGGCAGTTATATATTTCATACTCAGGAAATGGATATACTCTTAGGCATTTAAAATATCCATGATTTGTAGGACGAAATGTAAAACCTTGTAGGTATAATAACAGTAGCCATTAATATGTTTATTTAGATAATTATAAAATTGTTGAAAAATTATAGGAAGGTTTTCCACAGTTTTTGAAGTACTTTGGATCTTCTACTCAAGAGGTTGGAAATTCTCAGAAAGGCCAATTAATTGTTTTTGCAGGATGTCTTCTGATATATTTTTCACAATATTTATCTTTTTAACCAAGAGTCTGAGAATCTTTTTGAGTCAGGACTTGTGCATGGTAAATTTGGTTGACAACTGATATTTGGCTGAAGATGGCAGACTTTTCAGAAGTTAGAGAATTATTTTCACTTGTGTTTTTGTCACAACTATGCCTGAGTGTAAAAACATCTTGATGCAGCATCTGAGGACTGTAGTTTACATGCATTTAACATCAACGTTCACTTCTCAGAAGAGGACTGGATTTAGTACTTTTGAACATAGAACCTAACCTGCATTTCTCATTGGCTGTACCCAGCTGTATAAATGGCCAATGTATATGTTGTTTAGGTATGTTTTAGCTAAATACAGTAAATGTATCTGAAACGAGTCACAAATTCATTTAGATTGAGTTGGGCATTATTCTAACCATTCATTTTCCAGAGAAGCTTGTTCATTGCAGGTTTTCCTCTGAGCCTGGAGTCTTGCTCAGAAAGCACTTGGCTCTCCCTGTGGCATGTCCATTTATCGTAGGGCACACAAAGCACTTCAGAGACATCAGTTCCCGATGCTGCACACCTTTGGACTACATGAAGAAGAACGGTACTTTAGGGCAGTGTTTCCCCACCTGGTTCTTGAGGACCTCCTGCTGGGCCATATTTTTGCTCCCTCCCAGAAAGTGCACATTTTTGCTCCCTGCTGGAAGGGAGCAAAAATATGGACTGTCTGGGGATGCCCGAGAACCAGATAGGCAAACACTGCTGTAATGCACCCAGTGGAAATCCATGCAATTAGGAGACGAACACTCATGCAGACCCAGGGGCAGGATTCATATCCAAAACCATTGAGGTGTGAGGTCATATTGCGAACCACTGATCCACTGTGTTGTGCCCATGTATATTTTTTAAATGCAGGATTTAGGACCAGATGTGCATAAAACATTTGGACTCTGTGTGCAGGAAGTCTTTGTATTTTTAATATCTTATTCATTTTTAATAGTTTATTTAAAGATTTTATTTATATTTGTTATTATTACTTTTATTTTAAAAATGGCATAAATTTTTTCTTGCCCCAGCTTTTAAATTAATCTTAAAAAGCAAAAAGGAAAGAAAAAAGCAATTGAAAAAACTGCTCTTGTACTTCTGAGCTGAGGATATTATTGGGGCACAGTCTGCTCTTTGTTGTGATTAGTGCAAGCGTACCAGGTACCAAGAACATGTGCGTGTCTTACTAACTCTGGTGTTTGACTGAAACACACAAAGCTAGAAGGTGGGAAATGTAAGAACGGAAGGAGCGTAACAGAAACAAACAGTCTGTGTTTAGGTTTGAGTCTGGAGTCATTTACAAGGAAAACAAAGACTTTAGCTGGGTTTGTCCACCTCTAAATGTGCACTAAAGAGCTTCTCAAGTGCTATAGTACTCAATTACATAATTCAGTAGTGTTATACAGTATGTACCCTTGTGCTTGGGAGGACTGTTTAATGATATGCAATATTGTTGAGTTTTGTCATCTACATCTACTTATATGTGTTTGATCTCCCTGCCTTTTAACCATAAATTTCAACTTCCTTCTCTTTTAGAGATGATGACCTACATGGTGCAAATCAAATTAGGAGTAATTAGAAATTCTAGCTCGTCTGCATTTTTATGTACAGATGTTTCCAAAGTGAGATATAATTAAGGAGCAGAGGGTTAGGGTTAGCCAGTGTCCCGGGAGCAATCGGCGTTAAGTGCCTTTCTCAAGGGGCTCAGTGCGCATGATCATTCGGCCAGCCATGAGATCTGAACGGGTGACCTTTCCATTCTGGGAGTCCTAACCCACACACCGCCCTGTTTCCACGATGCCCACGGCCGTTCCGATCTCCCCACAGCTCCAGCACATCTGGCACCACCACGAGATCAGCGGAGAGCGCCAGTGTGAGACAGCCGGCCAAGAGCAAGATCCGGCGGCACAACAACCGGCTCTCCACGGTGTTTACCAGGAGCACCTCTATGTGGGAGAGCTCTCAGGGCTACTCTGGTGTGGAGGGAAACATGCTGGTGAATGATGACCCTTCTGAGCTGTCCAACCAGATATCCACCCCAGGCATCCTCAAAGTCTTCGGCAATGACATCTGCAAAGGGGCCCATTACAAGAGCGTGCTGGCCACCACTCGTTCCAGCGCGAAGGAGCTGGTCAAAGAGGCGGTTGAGAGGTATGGGTCTTTAAAGGCAGGGGCCTCAATCTTACTGCACGTCATATTAGTTTCCTAAACGGATTGCTGCTCGGAGATCAGACTTCGGTAAACACACCATTGGCTTTGTCGTTGTGGAGTTGTTCTCAGTTGGACCAGAAGGTGCTTGATAGTCTAGAGTGCATTGTTCGGTTAAGTATAATTGCACTGAAATGTTACAGATGTATAGAAAGGGATTATATGAAACTTAACCTCGTCTAGGAGAAACAGCAGAAAGTAATTTTCAAGTCATGAAATCTTTGTGAATGTAGCTGATCTTTCCAAGATTCCGAGTTTAGTGCTGCTTTTGTGCATCATTTTTAGAGCGAGGGAAACATTTGACACAGATATGAAGGCCTTCTTTATCCCTTACCTGGAAAAGCATTTAGCATGTGCTGTTTGTATCGCTTTAACATATCCCCACTCCAAACTTTAGCTTTCTGTCATAACAAGGGAAAAATGGGAGAGTCTCCCATCGCTTAGCAGCAGCCTCCCAAGCTTTGTACTGACTGCTAGGATTGAGAGGATACATACACGCATTTATTTAGCTGGGGGGTATTCCGGAAAGCTTGGTTAACTTACCATTTGGTAAATCATAACCTCTGGGTTGATATACCCCAAACCCGCATACCATGAGTATGTTGGTTCCAAAACACCTGAGAAGAGTAAGTTCAATCAACCTCCAATTGGTTACCCAGAGTTAATGCGCGTGCACCGTGCATACATACATAAAGACGTTTTCAATGGATCGCCGATTTCACGAGTCAGAATGGAAAATCAAAGTGAAAAAAAGATAGCGGCATACTTCACAGAGGCGGAGTTGGAGGTTTT